TTTGGTGTTATTGGCTCTCATAAATGGAATATGCTGTCTAGCAATGTTGCTAAATTGTCAATAATAGCAAACAGTTTCTTTCTGCTTAATATAAACAATACACTCTATTCTCCACACGTTTTAAGATGAGTAATTTTTAACCAAAAATTGCAAATAATGTTGAAACTTCTGTCTGAAAAACAATAGAAATAAAGACTGGACAGTCAAACCTATAAGATTTCAGTTAGATGACTTCTGTGAAACCATCTTCCATGACCATGACCAAGCAACTACGATCTGGTTTCTAATAAGACGACCTTTAGTTTGTACTGCAACTGTATATCATGGTAACACAGTAAGCCAATTCTGACAAAAACTTGACAGTTGACTTAATATTCCACGAAACAAGCCATAATACAGAGAAGTGGGAATGTGGTTTTTCTTAATTCCTTCACAGCATAGGTAAAGATCTCACTAACATAAATTTGTATGCATGTCTTTTTAACTCACCATAACATTCTTCAATTAGCACAGCATAGGGATTGATGCCTTTATGTGCTTTTGCATCCTGATCTCCTAGCCTCAAAATATTTTCTAATCCATTGAGGGCAACTTGAACAATCTTTCCATCCATCACTGTCAGAAGATCACAAAGAGGAGGGATGCAACCTTGATCAACCAGATACCTTATTTGTTCGGCTGTTCCGCCTGATGTAGCATTGGTTATGGCCCAAGCGGCCTCCTTACGTGTCTTGAATTCGGCTTTCCCAAGTATATCAATAAGAACAGGGAAAATATTTGCATCAATTACTGCCTGAAACAAAAGATTCGAAGTAATTTCTAGGAAAACTGTTTTCTTGTCACCATGGCTTCATGTAACCTCAGGATGTACACAGAAAATCCTGCATCTAGATTTGTAAGGCAGCTGCAAATATGCTGATAAGCAGTCGTGATCCACTGACAAGGTGTGTATCACTGTAAAACATTAACACATCACTATCATCAATCATAGCATAATGGAATTATGCTCTGCAGCAAATTCCTCAGTAATTCTGCTGCATACAAGGTGAACTGTTTCTTGCGCTGGTTTCAGGTTAATTTCAATATTTCTGCCCTTGTATGCTAATTACATGGAAATATTGGAAATATCAAACAATCTTTGATATCCAGAACAAGTCATTGTATAAAATAAATATCATTCATTGCCAACAATACTTTTCAAAAATTACAGAAACTTGATGTGTCAGTATTAAAATGGTTTATGCACATAAGCAAGACACTGTGTGATGCCAGTCCTCGTGTATTAACAGGCAACAGCATATAGGAAATTTTTCTTCCCTACTATGTATGAAGGTCCCGCGCCGTAGCCGTGCGGTCTGAGGCATCATGCTTCGGACCGGTGATACGGAATGCACGCTGGTTCGAGTCTCGGGGAAAGAAATTTCTCACGAGATTTTCAACCGGTGCCAACCCAGCATCGTGAGGAAATTGGGGAGCTACAATGGGTAGCGTAATCCGTAGCAATTGCTGGGGGTTTGTCGTGCTGACCACACGTCACCCTATATCTGGTTGGATGATCGTTTCACCTCTGCATAGGCATGTGAACGTGAGGCCAGCAGCCAGCTAGTCAGCTTTGGCTCTCATAGGGCTCTTACGCCACAGCAGACTATGTATGAAGATATCTGAAGAACAAGGCAGATTGCTATCACAAAGCTGCCAGTCTATAGTACACATCAAGTCTATAGGTGTGAAAATAAACATTACCACTCCAGGCATTTGGCCGCAATGATATAATTAAAAAAATACTTTACTAACCTGGATCTGTTGTCTATTTCCAGCTGTAATATTAGATATTGTCCAGCAAGCTTCTTTCCTAATTGACTCCTTGGGTGAGGCTAAGAGGTGCAGCAAGCAAGGCAATGCTGAACAATTCAGGATAACTTGTGTCTGCACATCATCTCCAGTCACTATGTTACCCACAGCCCTCAAAGCAGCTGACACCACATTGTGTTGGTTGTGCCTGTAAAACAGGATTTAGATTTCACATTACAATAAAGTACTCGTAAATTCCTATTTTCAACTGGAATATACAGTGCTGTCTGTATATTCTAAGGTACAAGTTTCATTGTGTTTAAGCACCATATCCATGAAGATGTATGGGGAAATAGAGGTAAAACTTGACACATATTTAAAGCTCCAGCCACTTTACCCCTAGGTAAAGTGATAGGGAAAATTCCCTGCCCCTGCTGAGAATTGAACTCCAATTATCCAGTCCTAGCCAGTCAATGAGCTACCCTTGCTCATCCTATTAAATGCTCCTTACTGAAACACCAGTAAAGAAAAAACACTTTAAAGGTTTGGGAAAATGAAGTTATGAGATGAAACTTAGCAACTAAGAGATATATTAAAATATACAGAGTACATCTAAAGACTGATGAAACATATAACAATGTGACTACACATCACATATCACACATAAACTGGAATCTTCTGAAGTGCTGAAAACAGAACTATAATACTATTATGAATAACAGACAGGGTTCAGTACAGCTCTAAATGAGGATCACTGAATCCCATGGAAAGTTATACACTTGTCTCAAAAATAAAATGGCGTAAGTTATTAGAATCAATAAAAATACTTGCATAAGAAGTTCAACCAATCGTCTACAAACTCCTGCATCAATAACTGCCTGGATCTTTTCGTTTGGTCCATCTGACAGGTACGAAAGTGCCCAGCATGCATCTGCCAAGACATCAGCATCTGCATGGAACAGCAGGCGGGAGAGAACGGGCAAGCATGGAGATACTTTGGCGAACTCAGGTGGTGGATTCTTTCCACGGCACAAATTTGACAAAGCCCATACAGCATTTCGTGTCATTGAGAGGCGGGTGGCCTTACTCAGAAGCCTGAAAATTAAATTTGTGACTAAGATTTTACACAACACAATTAAAATTACACTTTTCTAAATGTCATTAGTGATGGTATTATAGCACTACTTTTTTAAATCCATTTTCTGTTTTTAAAAATTCTTGAAAATCTTAAAGGTTTAGGTACAAAACTTTTTAAAGAGAGATGATGGATAAAGCCCAGAAAAAAGAAATTAACAGGAATAAATCAAACTAATTACATACAATTACTTAAAAGAATATATAATATGACACTTTAGGTCCATAGTTTATTTAATGACTGTTCAAAGTATTGGTTATATAGCATGAAATGAAATATGATACAATGGTTACAAAGTATATGTTAGCAAGGATGTGGAGATGTGAACTATTATGTGGTGATGTGCAACATTTCTTAAAGATTCAAGAAAATCACACACATACACAAAGTCAGGACAGCCAGCCTCCTAGCTGAGATTTGATCCAAATACCCTAGGAATATAAAACAGAGATGCTAACCATTATATACAAATTTGTGTGTGGTATGCAAATAAACACCAAATTTACATTCAGAAACTCAAAAACTTACTGAAGGAGTGGGACAAGTATTCCTGTGTCCAGTACATGATCCCTGCACTCTGGAGAATCACCCGCAATGTTACCTAAGGCCCACACTGCTTGTTCCTGCACATCCTCATATTCTGATGCCAGCAGCTGAATGAATACTGGTACAGCACCAGCTTCAATCACAATGCGAGTCTGCATTGAAGTGCCTGAAGCTATGTTAGTTAAAGCCCACGCTGCTTCAAACTGAAAGAAAAGTAACAGCAATATTGAAAATATTGCATGAGCTTCAGGTAAGGTATTCTTATTAGAGTTAATTACATTCGAAATCAAAAAATTAAAATTGCACATGTATATTAGAACATTTAATTAAATATAATATTTCACCAAATGCATGACAGATTTATAAACTATTAGATAGAAAGTATCTTCCTAATGCCTACACATGTGCGGTATCTTCGTGTCTGTGCCTATTTCAGATTTTTTGGTCTCAAATACTCATGAAGGCAAGAGGACAGCATAAAATCTGTGTGAGGAATGGAAAACAGGCAACTCTTACTGTTTTGAATATTCATCTTGAGAAAGGACATAAGCAAAATGACTTTTAATTTCACTTTATACAAGCCATTTTCAAGAGGTATCTGACATGCTAACATGCATGCAATATTATGAAATGATACAAAGGCAGAAAACCGAAAAACAACATCCATGTATAATAATTCACAAATGTATAACCACCTGTCCATCATACCTTTTGAACTTTTCTAATTGGAATTAACATCTTGGTACAAATATAAAAATCCATGGATTACAAGAAAAATAGAAAACTTCATAAACGTGGAACAGGTTACAACCCTGTGGTAATTAATTGGACATTTTCCTACACATATCACCCAAATTACATCCAAAAAGATCAGCACAACTCATAGTCAAAGATGCTGTGAACAACAGTCATAGTGTCTTAACAAGTTAGCATGTGAAATATCATTTGACACTGAATCACAAAATGACACTCCTAACAGCAAATTGGTTTTAATTCTGTAACATATTTCTACAGAAAATAAGAGTGAAACACAAACCCAGTTGCCTCCATATCACTGATCAAATAAGGATGCAGCCATATTGCATAAGAAAGCTGGTTTTTCATACACTGAGTTATGGGAGATACAGTCACACAACAAAACTACAATCTATGTCTTAGTAAAACACTACCAAAAATACTTTCAAATGACCCTCTCAATCTTAATTTTTAAAATAGCATATTTCACAGTTTAAAATACCAGCTGTTGCATGCTGCTGGACATAAAACAAAATGCACCTTTCCATCTCTGAAGTGTTTTGTTTTATTTTTACCTGAAGTGTACAGTTGGTATTATTCTGAAGAAATTCTACAAAACGTGGCACAATTCCAGTCTGAATAACTTCATCTATAGGAGGATTTGGTTCACGGGACAGGAGTTTGCGAAACTTTTGTGTAGCAGTTAGTTGATCTTCCACATTACTACTGTAAAGTGCTTGCACCATGCCCAGTGTGATGGTTGGTGCACTGATGAGAGACAAGATATCCTCCTATAAACCAGAACAGTAATATAAATGTGTGCTTTGCTTCCATATCAGGTCATCTATAAGACATGTTATTACCAACTACATCAAGCAGAATCCTTTATTTTTATAGTTCATTTAACAACTCTCAACAGCACAGATTATATAGTGTTGGAAGTTATGATGATACGTTAATAATGAATCAGAAAGGATATAAAGGATCCTGTCATGATATAGGATTTGAGACTTTCGCGGCGAGTACAATCAATAAAATCCTCTGTTACACAGGCGACTTCCGAGGATCCAGTCACATCAGAACCCTGAAGATGGGGACAGAGTTTGTTCCCGAAACGTCGGTTTACTACAGTAACCAGTTAACGCGGCTGATTTCCCAAGGCTTTACTGATGCTGTCATGGCCTAATTTAAGGTACAGTCCTGGCACTTGAATTGTATTATATGAATTAATTTGTTTTGCCACTGATGATGACCTCTTGAGGCGGCATTTGGCATTAGTGTCCTTTCGAGTGTAAACAGTTTTTTTATATGCATGATTTTATATTCCAATACACTGCAAGGTATGCAAGGTTTTAAAATTCCTACTGTATTCTTTTAATACTAAATCAAGGGTACGTCTTACAATCAATGGCATCTTAAAATCGATAAAGTATGGTACGATGTACCTGCAGTGATATTCATCATCTCAGTAATACCAAGAAACAGACAGACTTATATCAGATAAGACTTAAAACTCAAATATAAAATGTCTTTATTTTTTGTCTTTCGATCCAGAGCACTTTTCCGCAACCAGTGTGCAGGTTTCAGGCGTGCCATGAAGAAAGCACAACACTTCACACAAATCAAGCACTAAATGCTGTTTACTATGACAATCATATGAAACCCATAAATACAAAATGCAGGGTTAATATATATTAAAAGCAATGGTGTATATTGTTTCCACACTGGGCTTTAAAGGAAAAAGTAGTGTCCTGACATTTGCCTGAACTGGAGGAACTGAAAAAAACCACAAAAAATCTTGCTCCAGTCTGAGATTTGAACCTTGGACCTCCCAAATATGAAGCAGAAGTGGCAAGCACTTAGAAATGACATTCAGTCCAAATATGCATGAGTTACATAAAAGTTATTATAATAAAGTTCTAAATGTAACCTCTTTATCTAAACAGTTTCAAATATGAATTGTATTCATGCTTCTAGAATAAGGAATAGTTACTGTAATCAGATATAACAAATATGTGACTTACATTATTATTTTTGATTTACTATTTGTTTTGAGTGGGTTGCTCTGCAAGTCCTTTACATTGCTGGTAACTGTATTCACGAAATGTTTTAGCATTTCAAGTTTTGATATCATCACATAAATTTATGCAACACAGTCAATGGCATATTATCTTGAACAGGTAGTTTTCTTACCATGTCAAAGTGCACTATAACATATTTTGCTTCCCATACTGCATGAAGTTGTAAAAGACTTCTTTAAAAGCACACAATGCTAAGAACAATCATAGCACTTGCATCAATGTGTCAATAAGTTTCTTTTAATTGTGGTTTGGGTGTAGAACCTCCTTCAAGTTTCAATTTTTTGCGGCAGCTAGTATGAAGATGACAGCCTTCTAGGATTTGTGCAGTGTAGTCTCAAAGAAACTGAGCAGCATTTCAATTATACTTACTGCCTCTACCATAATTCTGGATATTTTAATTTCTACATTAAATGGAACCATTTTGCTTGCATTATGTACTTAGTAATTTTATATAATTTCACACCATATAGGTTTTAAGTGTTTCTTTACCTATACTAGCACCAACCACCACTTTCAGCGTTCAGATGAAAACCATTCTGTACATTCTTAAAAATGTTAATAAGATATATTTTCTACTACATCCCTTAACAACATAGTGAAACATTAACATATTAAACAAAATAAGCACATATACATTTCATATTCCCAAGAATTGTCATTTACTTCTAGTAGTACTTCAGCTTGATAATCAACACTAATTACTATTAAAATGTGATTTAATAAGATGTTTAATGGAAAGGCAACTAAATATATACCTGCATACTTCCATCATCATCTGATAATCCTGGCATAAACACATTGCGGCGTTTAAATAGCTGCTGCTCCCGCTTTTGCTTTCGCAGTTGGACTCCTTCCTCTTCACGCCTTCTCCTAAGCTCCTGGGAATCCAACCCCACATTTTTATAGCGGTATTTATGTGTAGGCCCCGACATCTAAAAACAGCACATTATCATTTTAAAGCTTCTCTACAAAATGAAAAACTCTACTATAACCTGTCCATTAAAATGTACAGAGTTACTGATGACTCATAAGGACCAAAGTTATTGATCTGGTACAATATTGGCAACGAACATACTGAAGGCTATTTATAATGCTGTATTATATACAATTTGATAGATTCACTTACCAAAACTCAATATTTCAAACTTCAATGTAAGAAACTATAGAAAGTGACGGGTCACATGAGAAACTGATTTTGTCAATGCACTTCAGCTGACAATCATGAATATAAAACGTGCAAATTTATTACCGTCTTGAAAGTAGATATTATTTTAATGTGTTCCTTGTTTTATCTACATACTGAAATGTTACGAGAGTTTATGTTACCTTACCTTTCCAATGGGTGATTTTCAGGGTTTTTAGTTTTTAA